GTACAAAACATTTAATTAACCTTATGTTCATACTAAACCTCAAAGAATGTTTCATAAATTTGTAAAAAAAAAAAAATTTCAACTTACCGGGCAATATTTTTTAAAAATTCAAAGAATTTTTTAAAAACTTTGCTTTGGAGTTGGAGTCGGAGTTGGAGTTGTACTCAAAAAATTTCATTAACTCTCAAAAATGAAGTCAACCCTAATTCTGAGGGCTCTATATATCTATATATATAATTATTTATTTCAATATATAATGCCACTGTGGGCAACAATTATTTTACAGTAGCAATATCAATATTAGGTAAATGGATAATCTGTAAAATAGTGATAATCACTGTACGTTTTAATTAATCATTTAAAAATATTTTCATATTTCCAGATTACATTATGTTTTTGTAAAAGCAAAAATCTAATTATTTAAGCAATTTTAGACTTAAACATCTAAGTGTATTTGATAATTATGTTTTCCCCAAGTTCTTTAAGGAATGCAAGTAAAATTAATTATTTAAGAATTTAAGGAACTAATTCTTTAAGGAATGCAAACAAAATAATCTTTTTCACAGTTGATTCATATGGGCATATTCATATTGAATCATTTAATAAAAGTTCAATTGAGTTGCATTAAGCATTCTTAATAATCTTTTTTATACCTTTTAATTGCATTATTAGGATTTATATCATGGGCAGGAATGTTGTGCATCTCATTGTAAGTCCAAATTATTATTTTACTTGTTATTCTGTTCTTCATAAATCGTTGAAGCAGGAAACACTTTTTTTTATTGTGTGGGTTCTATTTTTAGTGCAGCTAAAAAATGCATTTCTATTTTTCTATAGCCATGTCTTTTACCAGAGCTTGTTTTAAAACGTTAAGCTGCCGCCAATTTATGTAAGAATTGTGTACGCCTAGAGCAATTTACATGGAACAACTTTTGATATTTTTTTAACTTTTAAATTACTCTATTAAGCAGTAAGAAAAAAGAAGTAATTAATTTTATAAAAAATCACTTTGACGATTATGTAAAAAAGTTTGAATGACAATTATGTTAGATGTAAGCACTATTTACTAATGAGAAAAACTAAAAGCGCTATTTACTAATGAAAAAAATTAAAAACTACAAAAACTTAAACTATTAAGTTAATTATTTTATCGAACAGAAAACAAAAAAATTTATTGTAACGATTACTTTTTTATTTTTTTTTATGCAAAGTTATTAAAAAAAGAAAAGAAAACATAAAAGAAATATATATAATAAAAACTTTTATTTATTATATTCAGAGGACAAGAATTGTTTATGCAACTTGATTGCATTAAAAAAATTTACTTAAATTCTATTTCTATAGTAATAAATAATTTTTACTTTTTTTTTTTTTTTTTTTTTTTGTAATGATCGATTTTTTTGCTTGAAAAATGCTAATGCTTTAAGCTTGAAGCAAACATCATTATAATGTAATTTATTTCTGATAAAAAATAATGATTTAATTCAAAACTAATTTAACAAAAGTATGTAATTTTATTCTGATAAAAAAAAAAATTTAATTTAGATTTAAAAAATATATAATTAAATTTTGATTTAAAAAATATATTTAAGTTTATTTAAATTAAAGTCAATGCTTGCCAATTTAAATTAAAGTCAATAACTTAACTGTCATTATTTCTTTTTTAATATTACTAAATATTATCCAATGTTTGAATTTAATTAGTTCTTAAAAGAAAATTAGCTCATTTTTATCGCAATTTTTTTTTTCGGTTTTCCTTCCAAAATATTTTTTTATTACTCAAAATTAAATTTTAAATAAATGGCTGCATCAAAAATTTGCACAAATTTTAAGTTAAACTTTTTTTATTATATATGGCAAGTTAAATCGCAGCGAATATATTTTAATAATTGTTATTTGGAAAAATAATCTTTGCTTTCACAACAAAATCGTTTATAAAATAATAAACTTTTAATAAATAAAAGTAGATAAATTAACGCTATCTTTTTATATGTTATTCGTTATTTTTTTTTAAACAAAAAATCTTTTTTAGTCGCAATTTTTTTTAATGATTAAAAAAAATGTTAATTTAATTTTTTTTTTAATTAACTTATTTTAATTAATTTATACAAATGTTGAGGAAGATAATTTTTTACATAAAATTTTTTTTTTTTAATTCAATATCAAGTTTAACTATTTAATATCAAAAAAAATGAAACAAATAAACATTTTGTATTAATAAAAAACAAGTTTAACAATATTTAACTCGTTTTGCTGTAATCTTAATATTATTGCAGTAATTTGAAAAAGTTAAGGTCTTAAAAAAATAAAAAGATAAAGAGAATTTAATTTTATGACGATAAATTCACATTAAGCTGATGCATTAAGCATTTGTTATTTAAAACAAGGCCTGCTTTTACAATATCTGATTCAAAATAGCCATATCTGATTCAAGATAGCCATAATGTCTTTTACCATATCTGATTCAACTGTTTGAAATTTATGACATAAGCCAGTGCCA